TCTCCTTAATTTACTTGTTGAATGGACTTTCCTTAATTTTCCTTCACCCTAGCTTTTTCATCTGAAAAACAGAGCTAACAATAACTATTACATAATATTTATTTATTTATTTGTTCATTCATTCATTCATTCTTGAGACAGAGACAGACAAAGGGACAAATAACTCCCATCAACCTGCCCACTCCCCAAATGCCCACAATGGCTGGTGATGATCCAGGTTGAAGCCCAGAGCAGGGAACTCAATCTGGGTCTTCCATGTGAGTGGCAGGGTCCTAGCTTGAGCTAACTCCCAAGGTTCACTTAGGCTGGAAGCTGGAATTTGAAATGGTGCCAAGATTTGAACCCACACTCTGCAGCATGGGATACTGGCATCTCAACCAGCAGCTTAACTACTAAGCCAAGTAACCACTTCTTACATAGTATTTTTAGTAGGCAATATATAAAAATATTTAGAATATATAAATATATATTTGTTTTGAAACAAAACAATCACATTAAAATTTATTATAAGAAATTAGTGTAGGCCGGCGCTGCGGCTCACTTGGCTAATCCTCTGCGTGCGGCGCCAGCACCCGGGGTTCCAGTCCCTGTTGGGGTGCCAGATTCTGTCCTGGTTGCTCCTCTTCCAGTCTGTTGTGGCCCGGGAAGGCAGTGGAGGATGGCTCAAGTGCTTAGGCCCTGCACCAGCATGGGAGACCAGGAGAAAGCACCTGGCTCCTGGCTTCGGATTGGCGCAGGGCGCCGGCCGTAGTGGCCATTTTAGGGGGTGAACCAATGGAAGGAAGACCTTTCTCTCTGTCTCTCTCTCTCTCTCTCTCACTGTCTAACTCTGCCTGTCAAAAAAAAATTAGAGTAGACTTTTCTCTTTTTCATTACCTAGCATTTCTAGTTGTTGTTTTATAGGTCATCCAGAAAACCAACAAATTTCAGTTACTATGTCTATTATTTTCAAATCCATATACTGTGGATGGCTTGGGAAGGACTTCCTAGAGAATATAAATTTTGGTTGCCAGGGAAGTGATATTGAAGACAGTTGAAACCTTCTGAAATTTAAAGCAGATTCAGGCTTTTATGACTCAGTTAAAACACAACTACAAAACAAAACAGACCAAAAAGAAAAAAGCAATTCAACTCCTAGCTTTCCAATTCTTTTTTCACATTTATTGATGTTTTTAAAATAAATTAGTGTTAAAATTTTGTGTAACACAGTCTGGTTTTATTCATTTTAACAAATACATTAATTGACTCAGAAACAAAGAAAATTAAAAACTTATGTTCTTCATTTTAGATTATACGTTTGTACAATTCCATGCTAAGCATTGGTCCTCCAACTTTCTCTCAAATAGTAAGCTGAGTTCAAAACACTGCATAACACATTACAAGAAAGGTAACGTTAGTACATCAATCTATAATTTAGGGCTTAAGGTTTTGTGAAACAAGATTTATAAAGTGTGAATTTACAGCATCAAATGAAAAACTTCCCTTGTCTATTGTTTTAAGCTTATACTGCTCATTTCAAATCAAATGGACACTCATTGAGACACCAGATTTTTTAAAAAAAATATTCAATGTGTCATTTAAAACTCATAACAACAGTACTTAGTATTTTAAGACATCATAGACTATTGACTTTGCATGAAACTTAAAAATCTGAACACTTTGTTAGCAATCGTGGAAAGGAATAACCACAAGTCTTAACAATAGAGACTTGTTGCCATTTATTTTAAAGATTTATTTTATTTATTTGAAAGACAGAGTTACAATGACTGGAGCTGGGCCGATCCGAAGCCAAGGAGCCAGGAGCCTCCTCCGGTTCTCCCACGTGGGTGTAGGAGCCCAAGTACTTGGGTCTTCCTTTGTTGCTTTTCCAGTTGCATTTGCAGGGAGCTGGATGAGAAATGGAGTAGCCAAGACTTGAACCAGCACCCATAATGGATGTCGGAGCTGCAGGCTGGGGCTTTAACCTGCTCCACCACAGCACCAGACCTCTGTCATTCTTAAAAATAGTTTTGTTACTGGAATTTGCAATACATATTGAAGACAATCAGCTTAGAGTATTTTTTTCTTGCCAAGACTGTATAATAAAAGTTTTGTATAGAGCTAGTTCTATTTATTTATACTGTGTACAAATCACCAGTTATGTGATTACTTGAGAATTCATAAGGATTTTAGGTTTAGTACATCCTTAGAGCATTTTTGATGGGAAAAAAAACCCCACTTTCTTAAAAACCACCAAAGTGATAATGTGTCTTCACAGTCATCACCAAAGTGCTAAAAGGATCTCTCGCCAACAGGTATATTCTAAGAATATACATTTTGAACCTCTTGTCATCATCAATATTTCCAAAGTACCATAGAAGCAACTTTCACTACAATAAGAAGAGTCACTAAACCACAAGAACAGGACTCAGGAGAACAACTGCAAAGGGCATGGAAAGAAGATCACTTTAGACCCAAGACAATGACATGAAACTTTCAAATATTCTGTAACAATTGCACTGCTGGTTTTTTAAAAATTTTTTTTATTTAAAAATTTTTTTTTTTATTTTTTGACAGGCAGAGTGGACAGTGAGAGAGAGACAGAGAGAAAGGTCTTCCTTTGCTGTTGGTTCACCCTCCAATGGCCACCGCGGCCGGCGCGCTGCAGCCAGCGCACCGCGCTGATCCGAAGGCAGGAGCCAGGTACTTATCCTGGTCTCCCATGGGGTGCAGGGCCCAAGGACTTGGGCCATCCTCCACTGCACTTCCCTGGCCACAGCAGAGAGCTGGCCTGGAAGAGGGGCAACCGGGACAGAATCCGGCGCCCCGACCGGGACTAGAACCTGGTGTGCTGGCGCTGCAAGGCGGAGGATTAGCCTAGTGAGCCGTGGCACCAGCCGCACTGCTGGTTTTTACAAAGCCTCTCAGGACAACAGATGACAAGAAAATATAAAAAAGAACCACATTTTTTTTTTTTTTGGAACTACACATATCTTATCTTGCTACTTCACCTACTGAGCCTCCATCCAAAGTAGAGAATTATATAAGGGTAATTTTATCTAAATACATCCTAGATATCAAGTGATGGACAGTTCTTTGTATAGAGTATGTTGTATTGATATTGGCTCTGTTAAGTTTACACTGTCTTTTATCAGCAGCAGAGATGATAAAAAGTTTGCTGCTGTGTTGGATGCAGAGGGGACAAACACATAGCACAAGGGTCAAGGACTATTCTGTAAGAAAAGAGATTATATCTTTATAGAATACTCTACTTCTTTTTCTTGAAATACAATGTTTTTGCTCTATGCTCTATATAAAAAGACCCAAGATAAGCTGACTTGAAATAGAAAACTATTTAGGAAGTAAAAGCTTTCTTTTCTAAGAGATACATAGAAATATATAAAGTAGAAAGTGGACTTGAGTTTCTAACTGCAAACTAAAATCACTCATCTTTCTTTGGGGTTAAGTTGAATGTTAAATACCTAAGGCTAGCGTCTGTGTTTGTACTTGAACTAAGCTCTACAAAACTCTGACAGTACTAGTAGTATAAAAAACAGAGGTCAGAAGATTAATAGTATCAACAAAGAAAATAAATCTCAGGAAGGAAGTACAAAACTCCAGAGTTCCACCTACTCCTTTGTCATCTAAACCAAAAATGTCTCTCTTCCATGTCTCTGCATATGATTTATACAAGATAGCAGCAGTATTTGATGTCTTTATGCCAGTCTTTCACTGGAAGGGATGCTGATAATAAAGGAATCCCTCTCACTTTTTAAATTGATGTAAGATAGAGAGTATAATAAAAGGGAAAACCCATTGATGGAACTGTGTTTTATATCGAAGAAAACAATGAAAGAATTTCATAATACAGCCTTTTTCAGTTCATGAGCCTAACATGTTTAAAAAGTGTAGTAAGAGGTCCATGGCCCATTCAACTCATTATCTTCCAATTGCTCTAAACATGAAATAAGAACAAAGACCCATATAAATTTGATTATCAATCATTATAAGTGGACTAAAGTAAGATAGATATCTAAAAATACTAAGTGAAATCCAGAGTCAGGATGAGGGTGAAGTAAGAGTCACGTAGGGTACAAAATTGAAAAGACACTTTCGGCATATACATTACTCTTGGAGTGGCTTGCTTTTTAAAAAATATAATACAGTTTATCTAAGTTCAAAAACACTTGAGCATTCTAAACATACAAGAAAAAAAAAAAACTTGTGTTGAAGTACAGAAGGTGAACTTCCATCGATGATAGTGGCTCTTCACTTTGCTAACACTGAAGAGTTCTACAGTTTGTTGTTTATAAAAGTTTAAAAACTACTGCCTCCCTCTAGGTCTCAGCCCTGATGCAGTCAATTATCCAGAAATATCAAAGGAAACCAGCAAAAAAACAAAACAAAAACAAAACAAAACAAAACAAAAAAAAACAAAATCAAAGACAATCCAACTAGATTAATAACTGCTGAGGTCTCTAAAGGAGAGGTGACAAAGTCAGACTCCTAGTGGGTTAATGCGAAGCAGCAAAAAATGGAAGATATTTAAGAAATAATTTAAGAAATATTTGGTACATCTGTCTCTGCCCATCCATTCAGTTTTTGGGCTATTTCTTGCTGTCAGATATTGTTTCTGAAAATTGCAGAAGGGAAAGAAGAGTCAGTTCCCAGACTACATAGGATATCAATACTGCTAAGGGGTCCCAATATTGTCTGTAGACTCAGCTCTTAGCAACTTATTTCAAGTAGTCCCTGGTAAAGTTTGTTGTTGGTTTTAAGATTACAATTGTTTTGTTTGTCTCGATTCCAAGGGATATCTTTGCATACTTAGGATCAATAGAGGATTCAGAATATTTCTTTGTCACACTGTTGAAATATTCTTTCCTAGCTAGTTAATGTCAAACCAGAAAAGAATGTACATGTAACAGATAACTATGTGACAACTGCATCTTCAAACTGAAGTTTCTTTAAAATCAATTCTGCACTGAAACTTTAATAAACTGATTAGAATATAAACTTACGTTAAAGCTTCTGAGTAATTATAATGAGGAGACACTCCTAGAAACTTCTGTACTTCATCCATCACAGTAGCAGGATCCGTTCTTAGCTGCTGCCCATCGATAATTAGCAACTAAATTACCAGTGAAATAAAAATAAAGACAGTGCACATTGATAAGACATGTTAATTGTATAATGAAAAATTTCTGCACTCTGAACTTATTCAGAGACACTGTCCTGAGGGGATTTTCATGCATTATAGTTAGACACAATCAAGTCATCCTCATTAATGAGTTAGAACAAGAAATAAATCACACTAATTAAGTACAGTCATGTTTTGTAATTTGAGAAGTCCTGCAAACACCATGAAAACAACAGATCCAGTTGTGAAGACCAAGAGCTTAGAAATGTGACTACAAAATCACAAATGGGAACTAAGTTTAAAAAGTAAACAAAACACAATTCCATCATTTAAGCTGAGAAAGAGCCCTGTAGATAGGAGGAAAAGTTGTAATAAGCTCAGGTGTGGTGACACAGATAACATGTCATTCTTTACAAGTTTCAGGAATAGCATTATAAAGTTTTGAGAATCTCACATGGAGAAGAAAGTAAGATATTCTGAGAATCTGAACATGGACAGAAGTTCCTCAAGAAACTACAGGGAGGCTGGCGCCGCGCTCACTAGGCTAATCCTCCGCCTTGTGGCGCCGGCACACTGGGTTCTAGCCCGGTTGGGGTGCTGGATTCTGTCCCAGTTGCTCCTCTTCCAGTCCAGCTCTCTGCTGTGGCCCGGGAGTGCAGCGGAGGATGGCCCAAGTGCTTGGGCCCTGCACTGGCATGGGAGACCAGGAGAAGCACCTGGCTCCTGGTTTCGGATCAGCATGGTGCGCCAGCTGCGGCGGCCATTGGAGGGTGAACCAATGGAAAAAGAAGACCTTTCTCTCTTTCTCTTACTGTCCACTCTGCCTGTCAAAAAATAATAATAAAAAAAAAAGAAACTATGGGGGAAAATTTGTGTGCTACTCTGGTGAGGGTGGACCCAGCAAGTTAAATGATAGGAGACTGTTATGGAAGGCTAGAAAGTCAGCAGTGTGACCCCTGCCCACCCTTCTTCACTGTTTCTATTGAGTCTAGACTAACACTATCCAGCAGAATTTTCTGTAATGTGTACCAACTCTATAGCTGCTGCATCTGAGTTGTTGCTGTTGAGCCTTTGAAATGTGGCTAATGGAGATGAGGAACTGAATTTTAAATTTTATTTAATTTTTATACATTAAAAGAGCTATATGTGATAGTAGCTATCATGTTAGCATGGTTCTCGACCACTGTATCTGATGTCACTGGATTGCTTATGCAAACCGATGTAGAAGTTGATTTTGTAATCCAGGTTCACGCTAGGCAAGACAGAAAAGCAATGAAGCTGAAGAAAATACAGGACTTAGGAGAAATTTAGCAGGTGGTTCAAAAACAAGTAATGGCACTTAAGTAAGTTAACATTAGTCTTGTTAAGAGATTCTCAATCTTCATTAATCTCAGAATATGAGTTAAGATTCTAAAGTTTCTGAATTCTTTACGGTCAAGAAAGGTGTGCACTAGAAAACAAAGCAGTGAGAATTACTATGAAACCCTCTTAGATGGAAAATTAAACAGTTTTTCTACCTCTGCCTATCTATTTTTCTTTACCATAATCTCATTATTTGTAACTAAAGAATAATAGCTAGTAATGTTTCAATGAGTTAAAAAAAAAACTTCTCTATCCTTGAAGCTAAGTCATTAACTTAATGAGACTGCAACATGACATAAATTCTTATTGCTGCATACCTGGAAGGGGGGGAAATAAACAAGCCATCTCTCTATGTGGCTGGCATACCACCCAGGGACCAAACATCTCTTCTGCAAGGCTCTCAGCTCAGAGGGTGCATGGGGCCCGGCTGAGATCACTTCATAGAAGCTAAACTTCAGAGCTGCGGGGTCTTCATGTGATCGCTGATGCTATGAGGAAAAGGTGGATAATTAAGCTAACTTGAACCATAGGCATAAATAATTAAAAACCAATCTTTGTGACAATTCTCAGAGCTAGAGGAAGGAATACTTCACTGCTGGAGTTATTTGTTTTGAAATTAATAAAGTAGGAAAGTGTTTGCTGGGAGCATAAGGATTTAAAGTTACCACACTGATCAGAGTATATATTTGAGAACTTATTTGGTAGAGGCTGACTTCTTATTGATAGGATTCCTTAACTAACTTTACAAATTGTTTCCTTAGAGTATATATTTTATTCTGAAAGTGAACTTTTGAGAGCTGCATTAATGGCCCCCTTTCAGCCCGTAAGCAGACTATTTATCATGTCCAGTGAATATCCATAATACACAAGCCCCCCACTAGTTCTGCCAAATGGGTTTGCTCCATCTGCTAATGGAGTTTCAGATTAGAAAAGCCCTGTTGGCTATTTTAAATGGAGAAACTACTGAAAACTCTGACATGTACATTATCTGAAAGCCGCAGCTTTTATCGTATATTACTTAGTATCTAAAAGCCAAGATTATTTTTTCTAATGGTAACCTTTGCAGTGCATCAGAATCATTTATTGTGAAGAAAATGCAGAAAGCAGCAATCCAAATAGCAAAGTGTTTCATAATGATTCAGGCTCAGGCCCATGGGTTTGAGGAAATCACCTTTTCCTTAAATTGACCAATAAATATTCAGGCATAGTGGTGAGTCTGTGAATGTTTACCACATCTAGCTGAATAGCAAATTTACTGCAATTGAGATTCAAATTACTATACTACAAACTCTACTAGACTTTGTTAAGGCCTGCATTTTGCCACTGTGGAATGATTTATTTGCAATATTTAGGATGTTTTGTTAGCTTGCAGCCTTGAAACCTCTTTTTTCTTTAAATTCTCAATTTTTCAGGAGCTAAATGGTTGCCAAGCTCCAATTTTCTTCCTTCTTTTTGAGTCAATTTAGGCTTATTTCTCTTTTCTCAAGAAACCTGGTGGAAAAATCAGTCAATTGACTACTTGCTGTATATTGTGGTTTAAAAGATGGCTCCAGGTCTGGCATGAATAATTGGAGTGAAATTGTGGATTTCTCTGGATCTTAGCTTTTCAGGATGTCTCCACTCCGTGTTATGCAATATTCCTATCAAAGTTATCAGTAGTCCTATCAAAGATTCCATCTGCTTTGTATGACCTTTCCTATTCTACCTTAGCTACAAAACCTTTCCTGACAGTCTGTGGACTTTCTTTCGCTTGTGGACGAGGAAACATGGCTTTTGTTAAGTAACCAAAGGACTGAGGAACCATATTCTCTAGCATAATTTTCAAGAACTTAGCTACCTGAGAATGAACAATGCACTCTTGTGTGCAGAATCTGCATTATGTGGGTCATTTTAATACAATAACCTTATACTCAACCCACTTGCAGAGTTTCAGATAAGAAGATTTTGTGCAAACAATATTCCATATAGCTAAACTTCATAGCTGCCAAGGAAATAGGACCCATTGTCTACTTTTCTGAAGGGGTCTACTCATAACCTCTGCATACATAGCTCTATTTGCACACATCAAAACACTTCCTCATTTTAATTTTACCCAAATTTCTCCCCTTACAAATCCTTCCTTTTAGGGAAATACCAATGGGTCTGGTGTTCAGGCTGTACTGCACCTGGTTAATAAGTCAAAGTTGTACCAGGTGGGCTTTCTCAGATGGGCTTTATCACTTTGAACAACTGTCTAACTGACTGTATCCCACTTACTATGTTCTAATTTATATGATTACCTTTACATATTTTTTTCAATTAGACAAAGTAGTCTCAAGTGTAGCACATTTATTAACTTATCTTGAAATCATGTTTAGCTCAATACTTTGCAATGGTAGTCATTAAAATTATTTGGTGAATGGATGAATGTGTGAATATTAGGGAAGCATTTTTTAAATTATAAAACTTAAAAATGTTAACTAAGTATCCCAGAGTCTAAAGTCACTAACAGTTTTGTTATATTCTTATAATTTTGACAGTCTGTTGAGTTTTTCCATTTGGTGATTAAAATATCACCATGAAAGGCCTTTTTAAATATTATTTTTAGTGACATTAAAATGCAAATGCATTTTACATGTAAGTAGTAGTATTAGTTTGTTGAAGTATTTCAAAATGATCACTTGTGGCTAAGCTCTACACAACATCATAAACATAATCACAATGAGTATGTGTTGGTACTTCAACAGGTTAATGGAAATGTAATTAAAAGACAAGTTTATTTTGGTGCAGAAGTGAGATCTGTGCATAAATTTTCCATTCTCCATAGGCTCTTTGAAGAACCTATGTATGCATGGATTTCAATTTTTTGGAACCAAAATAAACATATATTTCATTTTCATTTTCCACAGAATTTCTAAAATACCCTCAAATGAGAACGACTTAGATTCTAAGTTTAGGTAGGTTGGGTCTTCAGGAATGAAATCTCATATTAGCTTTCCTACTAAGTTGTTTCTTCAGTATAGTTATTTAAATTCTTTTAGAACAGGAGTCAACAATCTATGTCCTACTGCCTATTTTTTATAAGTAAAATTTTAGTGGACTACAGCTTATATTCATTCATTAACACATTATGTTTGCTTACCTGGTACCAAGAATATGCTCGGTCCGATGGGTCAATGAGAATGGTGATGATCTTGGCTTTGGGGACCAGAGAAGCAGCTCGTTTAGGAGCTTCTTCTGAGTGGAAGTAATTGGCACTCTTTTCAAATAGAAAGTCGGTGGTGACATTAGATGGGACTGGGAAGAAATCCATATACCTGGAAAAGGAATATTTGTCTCAAACTAAGACTCTGGTTTATACTCATATCCTGGTGACTGAAGACATTAAAAGTATCCCACAAATTCATTTATTTCCTAAACAAAAACTTTTTTTTTTCTTTAAGGCATTTGTCCTATATACTTAGCTAGGAAAAAATAACCAGAACAGAATAATGTGTTTTGAAAATGTTTTTCTAAATACATTTTGTTTTTATTTTGCTTCCTATCAGGACAAAATTTAAGAGAGATAACAAAAATGAAGACACAGAATGACCAAACTGTAATAACAACCAGCCTAACTATATACAGGGTATTTAAATGCAAAAATACTGTACAGAGAAAAATGTTAAATACTCAACAAAAAGATTTGAACAAAAAAAGGTGGTATGTTCAGTTCAAAGACATTTTTAAAGGCTTTAGAAAAAACTTGTTTTTACTTTATTGCAAGTAAAATAATGTTGTTCCCACTCATGTGTTGTGCTGATACTGTATTTATCCAGTGCAGAACATATCTGGTGCAATATGGCCTGTTCATTTAGTTTTTTCACATAGAGCTTTAGAATGATTATAAGAAAGGTTTAAAAAGTGTGTGTGTTTTCTGCATAAATATAAAATCCTATCAAATTTCCCAAGGTCAGGTCCAGTATCCTTAAGTATAATGAGAATTCAAATCACCAGTAGAGTGAACACAGGGATACTTATAAGGCTTAAGTACTGCAATAATAGGATTTTATTTAATGTTCCACCTGTATAAAAGTTGCCAAATATAATGCAGCATGTGGTAATACATATTTCTGAAGGACTAAGGGACAACTTCTGTAGGGAAAGAACTTTTTAGACTATAAAAATTTAACTGGTAGAGATGATTAACATTTTATAAAAATAGCCTTACTACTATAGCCCCCATCCTGTTTAACTCATAAGCTACTATGACTTAGGGGACCAAGAGTTGGTAATTCAATGATTACTGAACAAAAGAGTAGGTAGAACAATGATTACTGAACAAAAGAGTAGGTAGAACAATGATTACTGAACATTCACAGGATGATTTCTTTTTTAGAATGTTATTTTGTTTGGATGGAAGATCATGTGAGACCTTCATTTATATGTAGTTGTGAGATCATGTCATCTCACACGATCAAGCTTCTACTAGGGCTTTAGGTGTTAACACATTGCAATGTTTAGTTGATATAACAAAGTAATGTCTTAAGACTCAAAGCAGTAAAGAAATCCCTTTATGTTTCTGCAAATTGCCTTGTTAGTGGTATGTCATTCTGGCATCCTTTCAGATCGAAAAAGTGACACAAAATTTCTTGAGAGTTTGATCTGCTATCTGGTCTGGTCTATACTGTATTTACAGAAAGTGCCAAATTTCAAGATCTTTCTTTCTTAGCGGTTCGCATTAGTTCCAGGGGTGCTGAGGTTATTCTGGGTATTTAGTGGTATCTGGTCTCACCTGTGTCAAAGTAGCCTTTTCCAAGAAAGGCTTCAAAAAAAAAAAAAAAAAAAAAAAAAAAAAAAAAAAAACAAACAAACACACACACACACAAAAGTGCACAGCTGTTGAAATTAGAGAGCTTTTGACTCCTAAAATCTCTTCCACCTTCCCAGCAGTCTTTTATACCTCAACAGTTCAGGCTTCTGAAATCTCCTCAAGCAGTTCTGACCTATGGAGCATTGATTTTGACTGACCCCACAGTTTCACAGAGAAGACAGGGTCTTATTCCCCTATAGTCCCACATACAGTGGTTAGTACCTAGAGGTCCCTGGAAAAGGTTTGAAACAAGTAAATAAAAGGAATTTAGATTCATAGTTTCAGCATAGCATCTGGAAGCTTTCCAGGTAGGCTCACATTTGGAGAATATGAATTCAGGTTATCCGAAGAACTGGAGTATAAAGTAGAGTGGTTTAACAATTGGGTTTTAAAAAAGTGAATGTCTTTCTCTTTTAAGCTTTGCTACTTCTGTAAAACATTAAACTTAGCATTTTTTTTTCACCGTAAAGATGTGATTTTTCTAATACTCACATTTTATTTGTTATTTGGGTTGACCCTGAGTATTTCTAATTGATTTTACTCTAAACCACATTAAGATGTTTAGAGGTACTGACAAGATCTTACGGCTTTTTACACATCAAGTGATCCAAAAAAGCTCTTCTACATGCTCAAGTAATTGAAAATAATAATACCAAGCCATAAGATAAAATATTTGCATATATAAAAGTAAAACATTTTTCCTAGTTCTTCTGATTATAAATCTTGGTTAATTTGTCAGAGTTGAAATTTTCAAATATTCATTTACCTTACTTATTTCCCAAACCTGTGTTGAGGCTGCTTGTCAGTTAATGCAGCCCTGGTTTAATCCACATCTCCTTTACATAAAAAAAGTAAATTATTTTAATCAGAAAGGAAGAGAAACAGACATGGAAGAGAAACATCCATCTGCTGTTTCACTCTCCAAATGCCTGTTACAGCCATGGCTGGGCTAGGCCAAAACCAGGAACCTGGAACTCAGTGCAGGTCTCCCACATTGGTAGCAGGTATCCAAGTACTTGAGCCATCACCTGCTCCAGGAATGCTGGAACGGAAATGACCAGGATTTGAACTAGGAATACTAATATGAGATTTCGGCATCCCAAGCAGTCACACTCCTGGTCCTACCCAGTTCTTCAAAAGAATAGATTAACTAATCATTCCTGGGTTAGTTCTTTAATTGACCCTGGAACTCTGAAACACAATCTTCAACCTTATGACATCCTGGTTCCAAAGGGATGGCTGAGGTACTGTTGTTTCACAGAAAGGCTACTCTGAAGACTGTGAACACTTTTGATGTTATAGAGACGATTATAGTTATTGCTGTAGACTGACATTTTCAGGTACTATTATAACTTGTATTATCTTTTATAAACATAATGTGCCAATCAAAAATGCTTACATTTGGCTTGTTTCTTTAGTTTTCTACTCTTTTATGCCATCTCCTTATAAATTCCTTAAGGATTTTGGTAGCTGCTGTTGTTCCTAATTACAGGGCTTTTACTCACTACTGGCTTCTGATCAACATTTTTTGGATAAAATTTATGATAAAAAAGTTAGTTATTCGCACAGTTATCCTTAAGTCTCAAGGAATCCCAGTATCACACTCCATTCTGCCCCCAAAGCAGTCTTTAATCACTCTTTTTAGTCCTAATGTTAATATAACTTTATTACATTAATATTAGTGTATATACTTAGGTTAGTGGTAAATAGCAGCTGAAGCAGTTGTAATATGAAGTGCTACACTGAAGAATTGGCAGTGAAATAATGATTAGAATAGATGTAAATTCTAGTGGGTACTCAAATTATACTCTCTCTCTCTCTCTCTCTCTATATATATATATATATATAAGATTTATTTATTTGAAAGGCAGAGTTACAGAGAGAAAAAGAGAGAGATCTTCTATCCTCTAGTTCACTCCTCAAAATGGCCACAGTAGTCAGGGCTGGGCCAGGCTGAAACCAGGAGCCTGTAAATCCAACTAGGTCTCCCATGTGGGTAGCAGGGGTCCAGGTACTTAGGCCATCCTCCTCTGCTTTCCCAGGTTCATCAACAGATAGCTGGATTGGAAGTGGAGCAGCTGGGACTTGAACTAGCATTCATGTGGGATGCTGGTATTGCTTAACCTGTGGTGCCACAATGCCACCCCCTCAATCTATTTCTTTATCTTCCTATTTGAATTACCCACAAACAACTCTTGAGGTGGTTGATATGTAAATTGTAAAACTGAGATCATGTAGTTGATAAAAAGTTTAATTTATTCATTATTTTGTGCTAAAATAAATGCAAAATGTTTGTTTATGCTCCAAAATTATTATAAGCATTCCAGTCTTTTATAACACTCTCTGATTTATACCTTAATAGCAAGACTCTACATTTTATGATTAACATGTTATTTTGTACAATCCATTGCTACTATATAACTATTTTCTGTATATCTGACATTTTTATTTTTTGACTATTTTCTTTAGATGCTTGATATAGTTCTAATTTCAATTCAAAGGTAAAAGAAATGTTATATTGTAGCTTTTTTATAGCTTTCACTACTCATGATTGTATATACATTTACTCTTTTTTAAAATCTTTTATGCCAAAGCAAAATAGAAAATTATATATATGGGCTATAGCATCATTTAATAAAAAGTTCACAGGAGAAAGATATGAAAGTGCTTTCTTACAAGTAGAGAGGAATATAATCCTTATTTCTTTGACTTCATATCTGTAGTTACATCAAAGGTAATTAATCCTGGGGTGAACCCTATGGCTCGGAGGGTTAAGCTGCCTCTTGGGATGCCATCATTCAACAACATAGTGCTAGTTTGGGTCCTGGCTGCTCCACTTCCAATCCAACTTCCTGCTAATATATTCTGGGAGTCAGCTAATGATGGTTCAGGGGCATTGTAGAACAGCGTGTGAAGCTGCTGCCTGGGATGCTGGCTGCTTCACTTCCAATCAAGCTCCCTGTTAATGTGCCTGGAAAAGTAGCAGAAGACGGCCCAAACACTTGGGCCACATACCACTCACAAGGGAGCCCTACATAGAGTTTCTGGCTCCTGGCTTGCTTGACATAATTTGGGGTATGAACCAATAGATGGAAGATGTCTCTCTCTGTCTCCTTCTCTCTTGCTAACTCTGTCTCTCAAATAAATAAATAAATAAATAAATAAATAAATAAATAAGAGCTAGCTAATTAGAGCCAACACACAATCCTTTAACAAAAAGAGAGAGGGATAATGAATGTCAAAATTACATGGGGACCTCTTTAGACAATAAATCCCATCATAAACTGAGAAGAGTTTGTTATGAATAATTTCTGTGTGCCTTCATGTTATTCAGTCGATTTCCTAGGCAAAGACGGTAATTTTTTTGAGGCTACAAACTTACATATTTCTACATTTTAGTGCTATTTTATACTGTACATAGTACATATACTTTTAGATTTATACTAATAACCCATCTTACCAATCAATCCCCCTGTGGTAGTTATTTCTATTAAAGAACTGTACCTCCTCAAAGGTTTTTGGGCTGGGGGAGTTACTAAGGATGGAAGGATGCATAACCAGGAACAAATACAAAGCAGTGGTACCTAAAAAACAATAGAGATTTAGAAATTAATTAAATGAAAAGACAGATTCCTAATATTAACATTTCAAAGTCATAAATAAATTCAAAGATTATAATGACCCAGATTAATTATAAATATCCTTTGAATTAAATTGAGTAGATAATCAGCATTTTAAAAGAAGCAGTCTAAAAATTAGAGATAGAGTGGTGTGAGGACAAGAGGCCTATTGTAGAAATTGTAAAAATTGGCTTTTATTTGCTGTTCAATCACTAATTTGCTTCTTGACTTTGGCTTTCAACTTCTATTTGTCTCGGCTTTCTCAGTGGAAAATACCAGTCTTGCTTATTTCATAGGCATCTTTTGGGAATGAGAAGACATAATGTATCTGAATGTAGTTAGAAATTAATAAAGCACTACATAAACAATATATTATATAAGTGTATATGTATAAAAACAGTTGAGTTTTTCTATAAAGTTTTTTTCTGAACTAATTAAATTCAAGATAGAATTTAATGTTTCAATAAATTTACTTAGGCTTGAATCTTCTGACTATAGAAGAACAGTGTCAGAACTGCTTAAATTTCTAAATTTATTAAAAAATTGTATACTTTCGGGCCGGCGCCACGGCTCACTAGGCTAATCCTCCACCTTGTGGCGCCGGCACACCGGGGTCTAGTCCCGGTCAGGGCGCCAGTTCTGTCCCCGTTGCTCCTCTTCCAGACCAGCTCTCTGCTGTGGCCAGGGAGTGCAGTGGAGGATGGCCCAAGTGCTTGGGCCCTGCACCCCATGGGAGACCAGGAGAAGTACCTGGCTCCTGCCATCGGATCAGCGCGGTGTGCTGGCCGCAGCGCGCCGGCCATGGCGGCCATTGGAGGGTGAACCAATGGCAAAGGAAAACCTTCCTCTCTCTGTCTCTCTCTCTCACTGTCCACTCTGCCTTCAAAAAAAAAAAAAAAGAATTTTATACTTTCTTAGTCATATAACTTACAAAATTTGCATTGTGTTGGAAAGAGAATAGCATACCTCTGGTATGCATATAGATTTGTGACTCTTGGGGAGCAAGAATATTATTTTTTTTTAAATCATAAATTAGTGTTTTATAAACCTGAGTTAGGCAGTAAAGGATACAACTTAGATTGCTATTAGAGAAAATAAGGCAGTTTCAGTTTAGTTTGCTAAAGACCTAACCATGTACTTGCAGCTAAGATTGTGTTTTTAAGATCATAATATAAAAATTTCTGGTCAAGGTACTCAGTACTCTTAAGAGAGAAATATACCATCAAGTTTCTACTTCTCTACTCAAATGTGACTTGCAGTATTGTACAATCTGATGGAGCAGTACTTGTTAATTGTATTGTAGGCCAACAGATAGCAACAGTAATCAGACATGGCCTTATAATATTTCTCTCACTTGGAGAAATTACTGTTCTAATCTAACTTAGTAATGGTGTCATGTTGCCATTTCTATAAACTTTTGAATTTCCTTATTTGTCTGGTAAGCTTTCTTTTATGTATTATACTTAAATCTACCATATCTATATTGGAAAATTTGTTAAGAATAACTGTAAAAAGCAATAAAATCTAGGGGCCGATGCTGTGGCATGGTGGGTAAAGATGTTTGAGTCCCTGCTGATCCAGCTCTCTGCTATGGCCTGGTGAAGCAGTGGAAGATGGCCTGGGTCCTTGGGTCCCTGCACTCATGTGGGAGACCCAGCTCTGGCCATTTTGGCCAACTGGGGAATGAACCAATGGATGGAAGACCTCTCTCTCTCTGTCTCTCTGCCTCTCTCTAATTCTGCCTTTCAAATAATAAATGAATAAATCTTTAAAAATATATATATTCTAGAAAAATGAATTGAAAGCCAAAAAGTTTCTAGATTTAATCTAGACAATGTAGACAATGAATATTTTATCTACAATAATAGACAACTATAGTGAATGATACATTGTAATCTATGATATATAAATTAAAAACGTTTTTTCAAGGTTGACTTGAAATAGAAGACCTCAAACTTTGGCATGCCCTATGTTCAACTAGATGGCTTGTTAAAATACCAATAGCTGGGTTCTATCTCAGAATTTCTTATTCAACAAATCTATGGTATGACCCCCAAATCTGTCATTCTAGCAGGTTCTCTGGTGTTACCTATGCTGCTGGCCTGGCAACCATCCTTTGAAAATCACAGACTTAAAAGAAACATGAAACGATATTTCAACCATTGGGGAAATAATCCTTTATTACCTGATATCTATCTACAATAAAACAGAAAGAACATGTTCTCTGTGGTCAGATCAATTCCAGGGTAAACTTTTATTTGTAGTGCTTACTAACTTGAACAAAAATTATTTAGTCTCTCTGAATTTTGGTTTCTCATCTGTGTAGCAGGGAATAAAACATTTCACTCAGGGTTTTGTGAAGGTCAAGTGAAATAACCTATGTGAAAGCCCCTAAATAATGTCATATCTGGATATTATGTAAAGTATTTAATTATGTAAGGTATATAATTCAGAAATACTTATATAAAATATAATTATATTTTGATTATATAAGTAAAAATACAGGAAGCATTTTTTAAGGTAAATAGAATAAATCTTTGTGAGAAAAATAAGTATGGCTATAACTTAAAAAAAACCAGTTTATTTATTTTTTATTTTTTATTTTTTTGACAGGCAGAGTTAGAAAGTGAGAGAGAGAGAGAGACAGAGAGAAAAGTCTTCCTTTTCTGTTGGTTCACCCCCCCAAATGGCCGCTATGGCCGGCATGCTGTGCCGATCCGAAGGCAGGAGCCAGGTGTTTCCTCCTGGTCTCCCATGCCACTGCAGGGCCCAAGGACCTGGGCCATCCTCCACTGCCTTCCTGGGCCACAGCAGAGAGCTGGACTGGAAGAGGAGCAACCGAGACAGAATCTGGCACCCCAACCGGGACTAGAACCCGGTGTGCTGGCGCCGCAGGTGGAGGATTACCCTAGTGAGATGTGGTGCTGGCCGAAAACAGTTTATTTCTAAATGTTATTTTAGGAATTAAAAAATATTCCTGAAAATGTTTTCAGAAAACATTTCTTTTTTAAAATTTTTTTTTTTTTTGAAAGGCAGAATGGGACAGGAGAGAGAAGAGAAAGAGTAAAAGGGCCTTCCTTTTTCTCGGTGGATTCCCCCCCACCAAAAGGCCCACCCCGGCCCGGTGTGCTGGTGGCCCGGCACCGCGCTGATCTGAAGGCAGGAGCCAGGTGCTTTTCCTGGTCTCCCATGGGGTGCAGGGCCCAAGGACTTGGGCCATCCTCCACTGCACTCCCTGGCCACAGCAGAGAGCTGGTCTGGAAGTGGGACAACCGGGACAGAATCCGGTGCCCCGACCGGGACTGGAACCCGGTGTGCCGGCGCCGCAAGATGGAGGATTAGCCTACTGAGCCGCGGCGCTGGCCTAAATTTTATTTTCAAGAATTATATTAAATCCTGTTGTTTGGTTTTAATACCAATTAGTCAAAGAGAAAAATTTCTTATAATCTAATTATATTATAGAATCAATAAAAGGCATAATGTAATTTTCCAGTGATTAAGTTGTGGTTTCTAAAATCTATCTTTATGTACACATATTCTTGGGTATTAAAATTGTTCTGCATCGGGCTGGCGCCGCGGCTCACTAGGCTAATCCTCTGCCTAGCGGCGCTGGCACCCCGGGTTCTAGGCCCTGTCGGGGCGCCGGATTCTGTCCCGGTTGCTCCTCTTCCAGAGCAGCTCTCTGCTGTGGCCCAGGAGTGCAGTGGAGGATGGCCCAAGTGCTTGGGCCCTGCACTGGCATGGGAGACCAGGAGAAGCACCTGCCTCTGGGCTTTGGATCGGCACAGCGCGCTGGCCATAGCGGCCATTTTTGGGGGTGAACCAACGGAAAAAAGGAAGACCTTTCTCTCTGTCTCTCTCTCTCTCACTGTCTAACTGCCTTTCCAAAAAAAAAAAATTTTTTTTTCTGCATATATATTTTGTTAGTGGTTAACTCAACAATATAATCAGATACACACATTTAAATAACCATTCAGAAAACATTGATTTTTGTATTTTTGCACATTTCAACACTGAAAACATATCTGACTACACAGATAAGTAGAAATTTATGAAGAATTATTCAGGCCGGCGCCGCGGCTCACTATGCTAATCCTCCGCCTAGCGGCGCCGGCACACCGGGTTCTAGTCCCGGTTGGGGCGCCGGATTCTGTCCCGGTTGCCCCTCTTCCAGGCCAGCCCTCTGCTGTGGCCAGGGAGTGCAGTGGAGGATGGCCCAGGTGCTTGGGCCCTGCACCCCATGGGAGACCAGGAAAAGCACCTGGCTCCTGGCTCCTGCCATCGGATCAGCGCGGTGCGCCGGCCGCAGTGCGCTGGCCGTGGCGGCCATTGGAGGGTGAACCAACGGCAAAGGAAGACCTTTCTCTCTGTCTCTCTCTCTCACTGTCCACTCTGCCTGTCAAAAAAAAAAAAAAAAAAAAATTTATGAAGAATTATTCAGAAAAACAATTTTGAGAAAAATAAAAGTTAAAAATGATGCTATTTAATTCTCAGGCGACGGACAGAAGACACTTTTGTCTAATAAAAAAATCAATTTCACAAAATACTGATATACACAACACAGATAAATCTCAGAAGTTTATTATGCTAAATGAAAAGTCAAATACAAAGGGATATACACTATACTTCTTTATTCATTGAATTCTAAAAAAAGAAAAACTATAGGAGCAAAAGGTGGTTACTTGTGGAGAGAACTGACTATAAAGGAACATGGAGAAACCTCTTAATGACAAAACTGTTACATATCTTAAATGTTGTTGTGATTATAATTCTGAGTACAGTTTCCAAAATGCATAAAATTATAATTTTAAATGGGTGAATCTTATCATAAGTAAATTTTTTCTTAATAAAGTAAGGATGGTCAACTTAATTATCCTTACTTAGTAAAAGTAAGGATAATCAACTTTATTAAGAAATTTCTATTAAAAATTTTTTAAAGGCAAATATTAATCCGAATTGTAATGTAAACATTTCAAAATCCAATTAAATTTCAGTTTAATTCTGCTATCTAACCAAAGTATTAAAATGTCTGTATATCCAGCACAATGAGAGAAGAAGCATATCCTGCAGAGCTTTCTGATGCAAATTTGATATGCCTAGCTTCAGAAAAATGTGATCAGCAATGATAAGGTTTTGTGATGGCAGTGGGAGTTCACTTGAAGAGATTTTGGTGTCAGGATTTTCCTAGTTGTCTTTTTACTTTAGATAGCTAAGGACAAGAGAAGTAAATAAGGACAAAAAAAAGTATTTGTTGCATTTGCTGTTTTCAAATGGATATTTGCAAATGGGACTATCAAAAACTGAATAGGCTAAACTCTCCATGTACATTGCATAGAATTCTCCTCAGTTATTTATGGTGTGATACTCCCCTTAGCAAGTATTGTGGTTGCAATGGCTGTTTTCTGTGAAGCCAGAAGCTAAGGGCCGCAAATAATTTATCATGCAGATACAGCTTGAATGTCTGACATTTTAAAGCTTCCATTGGGTTTCATTTTAATACTAATTCTGACAGAAACAAGAAATTTATGGGGGAAAAATTGCACACCACTTTAAGAAAAGGTACAAAATATTTCTCCTGGGTATGAATAAATACCTTTCTTAGCACAAAGTTTTGTTTATGTCTAGGAATTATGCTTCTCAAACATCTTTTAGACTTTTTTTTTACAGGCAGAGTGGACAATGAGAGAGACAGAGAGAACGGCATCTTTTAGACTTTTAAAAAACAGGCATCTCTGCAAGAAATAAGTTAGAGGCTGGCACTGCGGCTCACTAGGCTAATCTTCCGCCTGCGGCGCCGGCACACCGGGTTCTAGTCCCGGTTGAGGCGCCGGATTCTGTCCCGGTTTTCCCTCTTCCAGTCCAGCTCTCTGCTGTGGCCCAGGAAGGCAGTGGAGGATGGCCCAGGTCCTTGGGCCCTGCACTGGCATGGGAGACCAGGAGGAAGCACCTGGCTCCTGCCTTTGGATCAGCACAGCATGCTGGCCAGCACAGCAGGCATTTGAGGGATGAACCGACAGAAAAGACCTTTCTCTTTGTCTCTCTCTCTCTCTCTAACTCTGCCTGTCAAAAAAAAAAAAAAAAAAAAAAAAAAAAAAAAAAAAAAAAGAGAGAGAGAGAGAGAGAGAGAAATAGGTTAGAAATAAACTATATCAGAAAGATGGTAGCCTAAGAGACTATTTTTCTGAAAGCAATTTAAAGAGTTACAGGACTTTTCACAAAATACTTTCAGTTACTTTCTAAATACATGATTAATTTTGGTTTAGAAATGTTAACAACACTTTTAAACTTATGTATTTGAGAAAAATACTATGTGTCACTAGACTGATGGCTGGATATTCAAACTGTGTGACACCTATTTCATCTTTTTCAGTTAGAAAACACTTCGATGAGATTATAGTATATTATTGACCTAAGCAAAGATTACTTTAGGAAATAACATAGCATTGATATACAGCATTTATAGGAAGTTTAAGAACCCTTTGACATGAATTCATTGTCTCATCATCAGCATTTTTACACTGTTTAGTGTATCATAATAAAAAATTCTCACCAGTCTTCTGGGGTCCAATTACCAAGAATTTTGGTAAGCGATCACAGGTTTTTTCTTTAGACCAAATGTCTCTGTGGCGTTTGTCTTCACAAGGATTCTAAATGGAAGAATATGGAGATCTGTTTTTTGGGTGCATCCATTATGTGCTCTTTTTTCCCCAACTTTTGTCCTTAAAAGATACTAAAATAGGCCATTAGGCTCTTTTTATGAAATGAAACCCAGAAGTGGTATCACAGAAAGCTAACAGCTTTCTTCAATCCTGATGTTAATGTCTACAGAGGAGACTGTGGGGGTGCGATGGGGCTGGGGTGTAGTATTTCCACTTTGGGTAAACAGCCTCATTGCACTGACAGATTTTTTAATTTTTTTCTGCAACTGGTAGTTCTGTGTCTTAATTTTTTGCTTTTATTGTTTATAAGCAGACACTATGCTTCCTGATAACCTAAAAGAAGATTCAGTCTCAGTATCCAATATATAACTGAAATATAAGGTGTCGGGTTTTTATTCTAAGTAACTGAGCTTTCCAACTGTGCTTCAAAAGGACTAAGGATATGGCCATAATAGAAGTATTTACAAAGCAAATTCCTTTCAGCTGCCTTCAAAGATCGGTAAATATACATCAAAAAATTCTATTTTACAGTGTATGATGCTAAAAAGAACTAAATTTCAGCAGTACAGTAAAATGATGGTGAGTTACTACCTTAAAGGGTCTGCTTTGCTTTATAATACTTAAATCCAAAACACACTGTGCAAGATACATCTAGAACATCCTTCATTTTAACTATAAATTACTATTATGTAGAAAAAGAGGGAATTATAGTGCCCTTTAATAGTATTTAAGGATTAGACACACAGGACCACTTTTTATTTCCATTCAGTTAATACCGTGGACATATGAAGTTAAATAAACCTGCTTATTTTAAATAAACAACAAATTTGAAGACTAAATCAGTTACTTTCTTTGCCTGCTCTTCTGGAAAAAAAATTAGTTTTAAACTTGTCAGTTGAAATTATAAGGATTTCAATATTAAAATAAGTTGTTAAATTAGTAGCAAAATCGCACATCTCCCCAGTGGCTCATACCTGGTGATGTTTTGTCATGGTTAAGATGGAAAGATTCTTGTTATAACAAATGAAAAGCAACATGTGGTCATACTCCCACAATCATAACTTTTTCTTTTTCCATTTGAGAAGCAGACCAAGAAAGAGTTTCCATTGGCTGGTTCACTTCCTACATGCCTGCAATGGCCAGAGCTGGGCTGGACCAAAGTAAGGAGCCAAGCATTCAATCCAGGTCTCCCATAATATGCATGGCAAAAATCCAACTTCTTGAGCCATCACCACTACCACTGCCAGTGCTGAGACTAGAACTTAGGTACAGTGGTATTTGACACAGACATTTTAATTGCTGTCTTAGCCACTAGACTAACTACCTTCCACCAAAATTACTAGCTTTAATTTGAGAAATGCGCAGTTCTATCTGAAGTCATCTATTTGTCCTCAGGAAGTAATCAGCTCTCAGTTCAAAGTTGAATGAGTTGAAAATAGAGTTCAGATTTTACCACCATCAAATTCTGTGAAATTTATTGAACTGTACTTCTGAAGATTGTTACTGATGAAACAATCAGCTCTGTTTGCAAACCCTAGTAGCATTTAGAACATATGGAGCCAGACGGCTTAGAACTGATTCCCATTCTGCCACACATGGACTATGTGACTTTACTTAATTGCCTCTGCCTTTCTGTGCCCCAGTTTCTTTATCTGTATAATGGGTATAACAACTACACCTACCATATAGGTTATTTGTGAGAAATAAATGATTCAAATTATGTAAAGTACTCAGTCTAATACACAGTAAGCACTAGGCAATTATTTTGCTAAGATTACTGAGTTCCACAGATCTTAGAATGGACAACTTCAAAGTAGTTCCTTCACTTCTGATGAGTCTGTTCTACGGTGGTTTGAATATGCCATTTCATGTGTTATTTTCTCTTAAGAAAATTGGTGATTTTTCCCATGAAACATACCACTCTTCATGTCCAAAAGCATTCCCATTTAATACTTTTGAAAGTTACCACATTCTGTGGCTGTTGGTCTGCTTCATAGTTCTGCACATTTCTCATAGACCCTCTAGTTAGCTGGCTACCTGCCTACCATACAACCTGTTTATAATCTTCTAGTCTTTCATCCTACTGCAGTCTGAAATTGATCTGACTCCTGATGAAAATATTGCAACCGCCAAATCCTTTACTGAGCTTTCATAATTCTGTAACTTCTGATGGCAACACAACAGAGAGTTTAACTCAAGATGTAGCAATAGTATCAGGAAGAAGTAGTTTTCAAAAATACCAACATTTTCAAAATACAGTTTGTTTTCTTAGATGCCTTGACTTTTCAGATTTGGATTATCTCATACATCTAAAGATACGTTTGTAGAATTAATTAGTTATACCAATTATGAAACCAGTTTTACCTGCCAGAGAGGGTCTTTCTGATCAGGAAAGAGCTCAAAATACTTGTGAGCCAGTTGCACCGGAGGCAGAGTCTGAAGTCGCAGGTTGGTCCAGCTCTGTACAAAATTAGCCAAATTTACAAATGTATACAATCCCAGTCGGTCATTCCCATAGTTGGACAAATGGGTCATGAAAATGCTGATCTGAAAAAAACACAGGAACTTCACTGTAAGCAAGTATTTTTAACAGTAGAGGGCAGTGTAATCATAGCAATGTAGATGTTTTTTCTTAAGTAGTTCATATAAGTTTTTAATTCACAACGTTTTGAATATACCTGCAAAACCCTCATTATATAAATGCATACTTCCAAGATGTTATCAGTAAGATTTAATGAACATTTTTTTCTGACATCTTAATATATTTCATAACAAAAAGTGAGTTCAACAGGCATTGTATACCCACAATTTTGCAACAAATCTGATACTGAATAACACGCTAGATATCAACACATAATAACTTTTTTTTAAACTTTTATTTAATGAATATAAATTTCCAAATACAGCTTATGGATTACAATGGCTCCCCCCCCCCATAACTTCCCTCCCACCCGCAACCCTCCCATCTCCTGCTCCCTCTCCCCTTCCATTCACATCAAGATTCATTTTCAATTATCTTTATATACAGAAGATCAGTTTAGCATATAGCATATATTAAGTAAAGATTTCAACAGTTTGCACCCACATAGAAATACAAAGTGAAAAATACTGTTTCAGTACTAGTTATAGCATTAAATCACAATGTACAGCACATTAAGGACAGACATCCTACATGAGGAGTAAGTGCACAGTGACTCCTGTTGTTGACTTAACAAATTGACACTCTTGTTTATGGCATCAGTAATCACCCTAGGCTCTTATCATGAGTTCCCAAGGCTATGGAAGCCTTTTGAGTTCACCGACTCTGATCATATTTAGACAAGGTCGTAGTCAGAGTGGAAGTTCTCTCCTCCCTTCAGAGAAAGGTACCTCCTTCTTTGATGGCCCATTCTTTCCACTGGGATCTCACTTGCGGAGATCTTTCATTTAGGGTTTGGTTTTTTTTTGCCAGAGTGTCTTGGCTTTCCATGCCTAATCAGCCAGATCTGAATGCCTTAAGGGCTGATTCTGAGGCCAGAGTGCTGTTTAGGACATCTGCCATTCTATGGGTCTGCTGTGTATCTCGCTTCCCATGTTGGATCATTCTCTCCCTTTTTTATTTTATCAGCTAGTATTTGCAGACACTATTCTTGTTTATGTGCTCCCTTTGGCTCTTAGTCCTATCATTAGGATCAATTGTGAACAGAAATTGATCACTGGGACTAGTGAGATGGCATTGGTACATGCCACCTTGATGGGACTGAATTGGAATCCCCTGGTATGTTTCTAACTCTACCGTTTGAGATAAGTCAGCTTGAGCATGTCCCGAATTGCAAATCTCTTCCCTCTCTTATTCCCACTCTTATATTTAACAGCGATCACTTTTCAGTTAAGTTTCAACACTTAAGAATAACAACACATAATAACTTTACAATAGGTGGACTACTAGTCATGTGAAGCACCAGGATTTCAGGGGGTTGAGGTTTTGTAATTTCAATCTACTTATTTGGGTTTATACTGTAGTACTTCAAGTTAGGTGGTATAAGTAAATAATGAATTGTTATTATTAGCATTAACTGAATGTCTTCTAATTTGCATTTCCTAGAAGCAATAATCACAACAAGCTGGTGGCTTGAGAAGTTTTTTTGTGTGTGTGCATGATTTATTTATTTGAAAATGAGAGAGAGAGAGAGAGAGAGAGAGAAAGGAAGTTTTCTAACCACTGGTTCTCCTCCAAATGGCTCTAACCATTGGATCTGGGCTAAGGCTGAAGCCAGGAGCCAGGAGCTTCATCCTGGTGTCCCACATTGGTAGCAGGGGGCTAAGTACTTGGGCCATCTTTTTTTTTTTTTTTTAATTAATTCCTTTTTTTATTTGAAAGACAGACACAGAGAGACAGAGGACTAGAGATAGAAACAGGCAGAGAGAGGTATTCCATCAGTTTTTTCTTTCCCAATGTCTAGAAGAGCCATCTTTGGCTGCCATCATTTGTGTATTATCAGGAAGTTGGATTGTAGGGAGTAGCTGGGACTGAAACAGCACTCCGATTTGGGATGCCGGCCTCAAAAGCAGTGGCTTAATCTGCCTTGCCCCAACGCTGGCCCCAGGGAACTTTTTGCAATAAAATAAATTGGAATTCTGTAGGCTTCATAAAGTTGGTCTGAGTTCTATAACTGGTATTTTTTTAAAGCTACTACTTTAAATGAATGCAAATAATTTTTGTTCATTAGTTGTTGACAAATGGAAAAAAACTCTTCAGTATGAAATTTTCAATGGCAAAGAAAACCATGGTGATATTTATGCTGCTATAAAGAAGATCATAAAAATAATTTATGGGATAATAATACTTTCCTAAAATACTGAATGCCATGTGAATAAATAGAAATAATTCTTATTATAATAATGAATATAACTGATCATTAAGAGGCTGAAAGAAACATTCAAGAAAATTCATTGTGGTAAAATGGCAGTGATGAGGACAAAGTTATATTCATATTTGATATAATGAATCAAAAATGTAATTAATTACAGCTATGAATAAGAGGAAAATAATCTTACATTCTATGGAACAAATCCTTCAGGCTTTCATATGAAAATCTCTGTGATGAAGAATACTTAATTATGTTTTTCTTCACTCTGCCTGGACTTATATCAAACCTTAAGAACTTTCACAAACAAAATAATTTGAGGGTAATTTTAAATAGCTACAAGCACACCTATTCCATGATGGAATAATGCTTCTAATACTTTTCCCATTTTGGGTCTTTCTGAAAATTGAGACTTAAAATTTAACTTTCTGCTTATTTATTTATAGTAGCTTTAATCCCCAAACTCTATTTTTATCCCTTTGTTTTTCCTCCAAAATTTCTCAAAACAGTAGGCTATTGAAAAATTTATGAAACTTATCCTTAAATTTGGACATTTTTCCCAATGTCTGCCAGAGGCAGTCTACTTGTTTTATATTCTACATCAAAATTGTAGCTCAATGACAAATAGCAAATTGATACTCAAGTTGCCTTTCTCTTAAGAAAAAATATTAATACAATTAGAAAATTATATATATATATTTAACTTGGTTAGCCACCAGTTCAAATTTCTTTCTTCATTTTATGTAAGATTTATCAATAAATATATATGTGTCATATTTCACTTGAATAATATCTGCATTGGACAGCAAATGGGTAACTTAGAGATGCTCTCTAACTTGGTGCTACTAATACATTCACTTCTCAAGCTCAGAGAATATTTTATGATGTGACAATTAAAGCAGAGTAACACTTTTCCCCTACATAACTAAAGAAAGTAAAAACTGCTACTGTCTCTGACAAAGATAGAGTCAGCTCAAGAATTATGAGCTAGTTCATGGTAACGCTTTTTTTTTTTTTAAATTTTTTTTTTTTTTTTTTTTTTGACAGGGAGAAGTGGCCAGTTAGAGAGGACAGGAGAGAAAAGGTTCCTTCTTTGGCCGTTTGTTCCCCCCTCCAAAGGGCGCCGCGGCCCGCCGGCCTGCGGGCCGGCGCACCGCGCTGATCCGGTGGCAGGAGCCAGGAGCCAGGTGCTTTTCCTGGTCTCCCATGGGGTGCAGGGCCCAAGCACCTGGGCCATCCTCCACTGCACTCCCTGGCCACAGCAGAGAGCTGGCCTGGAAGAGGGGCAACCGGGACAGAATCCGGCACCCCGACCGGGACTAGAACCCGGCGTGCCAGCGCCGCTAGGCGGAGGATTAGCCTAGTGAGCCGCGGCGCCGGCCCATGGTAACGCTTTTGCTGAAACCAAATCTGATTTGCAAGAAGTAAGATGATATTTATGAGGGGACTTCAAAAAGTTTATGGAGAATGGAATTAGAAACTAATTTTGTTTTAAAAATTTTTTGAAATACATGACTATGAGAGATATTCAAAATGTTCATGGAAATGCATGTTATGGAATAGGTATGTATGGGGTTTCAAAATTTTTTTTGCAACAAAACATTTTTTATCTTTTAATTCCATTTTTCTATCAACTTTTTGAAGTTCCTTTGTATATGCTCCTGAATTTAGTCCTGTAAAGCAAAAGCTAATACTTAGCCTCCAAGCAGGGGACCTTTCCCAGGCTTCAAATTCTGTTTTTGTATTCTCACTTTAACATAATGCAAAGTTCACCCTCAGCAAGAGGACTATTTAAGCTGATGTGTTTGGAGCGCATGTCACCTCATGATCCATTTAGACTTTAGACTGAAGTCTGGGATTTATATTTTGTTCTTAAAGAAATACAAGGCCATAAGAGAGCATAATTTGTTAGGAAATAAAACACATCACTTCTTTTAAACTTTCTTTTTAAACGAATGACAACAGTTTCTCTGAGAGAGTGTTCAAATCTTTTGCTGAACATGTGACCTGTCCCAAGTTTTCTTTATTATTTGTTAGTTAGGATGCTCTGTACAACTGGATTGGTGGGAATAGATACGTAACAAGAATGTTATTTATTTATTTATTTATTTATTTTGACAGGCAGAGTGGACAGTGAGAGAGAGAGACAGAGCGACAGAGAGAAAGGTCTTCCTTTGCCATTGGTTCACCCTCCAATGGCCGCTGCGGCCAGCGCGCTGCGGCCGGCGCACCGCGCTGATCCGATGGCAGGAGCCAGGTGCTTCTCCTGGTCTGCCACGGGGTGCAGGGCCCAAGCACTTGGGCCATCCTCCACTGCACTCCCTGGCCACAGCAGAGAGCTGGACTGGAAGAGGGGCAACCGGGACAGAATCTGGTGCCCCGACCGGGACTAGAACCCGGTGTGCCGGCGCTGCAAGGTGGAGGATTAGCCTAGTGAGCCGTGGCGCCGGCCAACAAGAATGTTTTGATCAAAAACATAGCTTGCTTTTCCCACAACATTCCTTCTTTACCCGTATTCTGACCTGTGATATTTATAAAGCCACTTCACTTCTTGGCAGTGCTTCATCTGACAATAATCTCTGCACAGCACAGAAACAAATAAAAGCTCGAAAGGTTACCAGTTCAGGGAAAGTAGGTATTAGCCTTTTTAAAAACAAGATGCTTTTATAATTTTAAGTGTTTCAGAACTGAGGTTTTATT